TCAGCCAGGCTGGGTGGCTGAACTCTCACTCCCACTTTTCTGGGATTCTCTGAACTCTGGGATTCCATGAACTCTCTGGGATTCTTTGAACTCTTTGGGATTCTTGGAACTCTTTGGGATTCCCTGAACTCTCACTCCCATTTCTCTGGGATCCCCTGAACTTTCTGGGATTCCCTGAACTCTCTGGGATTCCCTGAACTTTTTGGCATTCCCTAAACTCTCACTCCCATTTCTCTGGGATTCTCATTTCTCTGGAATTCTCATTTCTCTGGGATTCCCATTTCTCTGGCATTCCCTGAACTCTCTGGGATTCCCTGAACTCTTTGGGATTCTCTCAACTCTGGGATTCCCTGAACTCTCACTCCCTGAACTCTGGGATTCCCTGGACTCTCCCATCTCTCTGGAATTACCTGAACTTTCATTTCCAGCTCCCTGATCTGATCCTCTTTCAGTTTGATGTCGATTGTGAGTTTCTTGCACTCTGTCTCCAGCTCACGGATGCGGTTCCGTAAGGTCTCCGTGCATTCCCCTCTGCAGGCAAACAGCACAGGGGAAAGAGGTGAGAATAAAGTTCAAATAAAATTTGAAAACAAGAAATTGCTCATTAAAATAAAATGAAAAGAAAAAGCCAACTTTGGGTCTTTTCAGTGAAATAATTCCATTTGTTTGTCTCAGTGAAATTATTTCCCTCATGGTACCGGTGCAGAAAGTTACTCAATGTTACACCTTAAAAATTGGGAAATTTGGAATATTGGTGGAATGAGGAGCAGAAAAGCAGGAATCATTGGAGTCCTGCAGGTTGAAGTGCCCCATACTTGTGCTGTGACCACAGAAACCCCTGTTCTGAGAGGCACTGGCCAGAGCAGAGGAATTGCAGATTTTGGCTGCTGTCACTGCACAAATCCTCAATTCCCACCCCCCAGGTGAGAGGAGATGCTCCTTCCAGCAGGACAAAACATCTCAGAGCCCAACCATGGGAACACCCTCATCCTTTACAGTGTAAATGCCATGTGGGCATGGGGGCTCAGCCTCAACACAAATAAAACCTTTTTTTTTTTAAATAAAACATCAAACACAGGCTCCTCCTCCCTGTCCCAAAATTGCACCTSGTAGCAGCAGCGAAGGCGACAGCTCGTGCAGCAGTTGCTTCTTCCAACTTCTTCCTTTTCTTTTCTTCCATTAATTGCTTTTCTACAAAGGTTCGTGCCTCCTGCTCTGCYTTTAGCTTCTTCTCCAGCTGGCTGATCATTTGTTTGTCTTTTTGTTTCATCTGTACAGCGTTGTGCAATCTGGGGGTACAGGAACAGCAGTGAGCGCGGGGTTTATCAAAACTCAGCCGTGCCAAGCTGGGTCTGGCTGGGTCTGCCTCATAATTTTGGGAGTTTTTTCTGCACTAACCCCCCTGTGCCAGCCTGGCCCTGATTTCCCAGGGTGCTGCACCTACTTGTTCTGCAGGAGCTCGTTCTCCTGGCGGAGCTGGCCCATCTCGGCGCGGGCGCCGCGCTCGGCGGAGCTCAGCGAGCTGATCTGGCTGCGCAGCTCCTGCTCCACCTGCCTGCTGGCCTGCAGGTCGGCCTTTAGCTTCTTGATGTCCTGTTCCAACCTGCCAAAGGCAATGCCAAAGGATAAAGTCAGCAGTGTGACACCCTCAGCTCCATAAAAACCATGAAAAAAACTTCACACCATGTGCCAAAACCTCAAAAGMTTCAAACAATCCCTTCCCGCAGCTCTGCACCCGTGTCCCTGCTCAACAATCACATTTTATGTAACTCCACAGATATAGCTCCACACACCTCAAAACCTCCCACAAGAATTCAGCTTAAGTGCAAAATTGTAAAACAAAACCCCGTGGAATTGCATTTTTTTTTCTAAGTAACAAAGTTCTGAAGCAGGACAGAGGCACACAGGAGCAGATTTCAGTGCTGTCCACAAATGCTGAGTTTGATTTCTCACCCAGAGCTTGGCACCTCCACATGTTGGTATTTTCTTGCAGCACATGATGTGCATGCTGAGGAACGAGGATGTGTTAAGTCATCCCCGGTACAGGAGTCAGTAAATTTAGTTTTTAATTGCTCTCGCACAGAGACCATCTGCTCCACACTTGAAATTGTAGCTTTGGAAAGTTCTTGAAGATTCATGGAATCTTATTAATTAAAATATTTTCAACACAAACYGGTTAAATAAAACACAGGTTTCAGAAGAGAGGCACTCAGCTCACTTTGATTTCCCCCCTAACAAATAAGATTATTGATTCTCAGAATAAAAACACATCACAGGAGTGAATAATCAACCTTTTTTAACTCTGTTACACCCCAGCCATTCTCACATTACCCTCCTTTGCTCTGCCAGGTATTGATCTGAGAGTTTTCAGATGCCCATAAAGAAGATGAAGGTGGTTTTATTTCCTAGGGTTGCACTCTGAATTAGAGGCAATGGGACATTAAGAGGAGGAGAACAATCACAAAAGCCAAGAAGAGCTGCCCTCGGTGACACTCAGCAGTGCAGATGAATGGCTGGAGCTTTCTGCCTTCCTGATGAAACATTTTTGGGTTTCAGTGCAGGGAAATCTCAGCCTGAGAGGCACTGAGAGATGAGCAGAGAGAACTGAAGCCAAGGGTGAAGTGTGGAATCACCAAAGCTGTGCAAACCCATAAAAGCAGCTTTGTGACAGGCTGAAACAGCCCAGAGAGATGGGCTGGGTGAATGARCAGCAAAACCAGGCTCAAACCCCACCCCTTGCACTCTGTCAGGGGTCATCTCTCACACAGGGACATTAAAACCATCCTAAAATAAAATTCAATCATTAAAAACACTCTGAAATAAAATGCCATCATTAAAAACACTCTGAAATAAAATGCCATCATTAAAAACACTTTGAAATAAAATGCCATCATTAAAAACACTTTGAAATAAAATTCTATCATTAAAAACACTCTGAAATAAATAAATCTCATCATTAAAAACACTCTAAAATAAAATCCTATCCAGGTAAACCAATACAAAACCATAAAAATTCTCCAYTGCTGCAAGCCCAGCCAGTGCAGGAGCTCTCCCTCCTCCCCTCCTCTCTGGAACAGCCTGCACTGCTGGCACAGTGATAAATGACCCACTAAACCAGCATTTCTCAAATTATTGTTATTCTTACTCTGATTTCATTTGCTGCTTAAGTCTCTTCTTTCCAGGCTTACTGGAGAAAATCATTTACAGAGGAGGGGGAAGCAAAGCAAAGCTGAGTTCCAGAAGATGTTTTTCCCTGCTGCTGCTGCACAAACCCCAGGCACCCTGACACAGATCTGGGTTGGAAATGAAGCTTTGGTTACAGATTATTGTGTTTTTTATACAAGCCAGGTCAATTCTTTCAGTTTGTCATCCCTCTCGCTGCAGATTTACCCATTTCCTTYGCTGAGCACTGCCTGCTATCACTCCTGGGGAGGAGAATTCATCAGGGATCACCTCTGAGATTGAGGATTTCTCCAAATGCCTCGGGGAAGATTGATGGATAAACTTAAAACTGAGCTCAGCTCAGCTTTAATGCTCCCCAGAATCACTGCCTGGTGCACAACACACCCTTGGTTTCTCTGTTCCACAATCACCTGGCAGGGGCACAGGAATTAAACCCAGATGATATAAAAATGATCATTTTAAAGCAGCCAGAATGCACTGAGTGCTGTCCAAAAGCCCCAGTTTGCCTTTGTTCTGCTCTGGCACAGGCAGCCCCTGCAGTGGAGCTGCTCCTTTGAAGTGGCCACTGAGTTCCTGCAGCCCTCAGCTGCTCCTGCTGGAGCTCACAAAATCCCCCCTCAGCCCCTCAGAGCATTTCCACCCCAAAAACCACCMAAATGCACCGAGGTGAACCCCAGAGCCTCCTCTCCAAGCAGCTTTTCCTCCCAAAGGCTGCTCTGTTTGAGCTCTGCTGCCTTGGCAAGGGGCTGCAGGAGGGGTTGGCTCCCAAATTCCTCTTTCACATTCTAAATTTTCAGATTTCCTGCTCTGTGCTTGCCTTTCCAGGGCAGGAGAGCCTGATTTCACCCCCCTGGAGCTGCCAACCTTCTGGTGCTTTAACACCACTCCAAGCAGGGGGGTGAGCAAGAAGGACCAACCCCTCTTTACTCATCATTGACGCCACCAAATTTCACAATAATTAACACCAAACGGCCATCAATTCCCATTAAAACCTCCCAGCCTGTCTCTGCAGGTAAAAACACAATTTTAGGAAAGCGAAATAAGATGTGGCAGAGCAGCTTYAGCTTCAGCAATCATTTTTCCCAGTCCAACTGCCAAAAGATGTCCTCGTTATCTCTGGGAATAATTAGTACATGAGACAGCTTGTTCATCACCTCGTGTGCCAAAGGCAGGACCTCTGTGGGTAGAGACAGCTCTGCCAAAATGCAATGCCAGGGTTTTTTTGTGGTTTTAGTGCAGGGACTTTTAAGGGTGCTAAAAGGCAGGGGCAGGTCATGGGTTTTGSTGGGTAATGTGMAATAAATAACAACAACAAAGAAATTCTGCAGCAATTACAGWTTGGATTTGTTCCATATATTGAGGCTCTGTTTCACCCCAGAAATTAGACTGAAATGGCAAAATAAATTATTTGTTCTGCACCTTGTGACAAAGTGCATTGATCCCAAATGGATCCCTCTCCTGGCCCCATTGTCAGAGCTGGGAAAGAAGCACTCAGATCACAGARGTTYRGTGATGAGATGCTTGACAAACACCAGATTTCAGCACCTCACAAGGAGATGGCTCAGAAAAACCCCAGARATTCCTGTCAGGGCTGAGTTTTGGTGATCCCTCAGCTCTGACAAYACAACAATCCCAGGGATGGGGATCAGGATGTTCCTCTCCATAAAACCGAGCAGAGAGGCACTGATAATCACTGACAAAGAGCTCAAAAAAACCAAAAAGCAAAGCTCAGCTTTGAATAAGAGCAATATTTTATCTATAAAATAGATTTATAAACCTAAYCAGCCGTACCCTTTCAAACGGGTCACATCAAGTGTTTCAAAGTTAACAAACCCAAAAACTGCTGCTCTCCAAAAAAAAACCCCAATCCTATCTCCAGCCCTGTCACTCCCAGCAGCAGAAGGAATAATTCCTGTTTGATCCTGGCTCCTCAGCTCGGGGCCATCAGCTGTGGAAAGCAGCCCATCCTGCTGGACACACAGCTATAAAAAGCAGCTCCATTTGGAAGCTGAGCAGATCTGATGTGAGCCTGAACAAATGCAGGATTTCACTCAGCCCTTTCCAGGCTCCAGCAGCCTGAAAGTTTAATAACAGCAATGAGTAACACTCCTGCAAGAGGAAAAGCTGATGAACAAATGCCTGGCACTCCAGGGACAGGATAACTGACGAGGTTAAAATAAAAAAAGCACCATGAATTTTTAAATTTAAGTGCATTCTATCCCATCCAATTTGTCAGGTGAGTTTATGCTCCCGTTGGGGCAGGATTTACACAGGCAGGATGAGCAGGAACAAGATTCCAGGAAGGATTTCAGCCCCCAAACAGGAGCAGGATGGTGCTGTTGGTGTTCCCTGTGCAGGGACATCCACGGACAAGGAACAGCTCCAGGGGTTTGTAGCACAAATTCCCACCCACACAGCCCCAAACCCRCTTGTCTGAAGAAGTTAAATTCATTTTCAGGGCACAGTGAGGCACTTTTGGAGCATTGCTGTGTTCTCTGTCCTTCCCCAGTGAGTCACAGGAGCTGGAATTCCCTAAGGACACCAGGGAATTTGTTAAACAGAATCTGCTTTGTTGTAAACTCATTTTTGTGTCCCAAAACTCACTCTGGGCAGTCAGGGACCACCTGCTCTAAGCTCCCACAACAGCACAGAAAGATTTCAACACGAAATTTAAACTTTAACCACACAGGTTCAAATCTCATTCCCTGTCAGAGCTACTCAAGGCTCAGTCTGGCCATTCCTGCCTTCCCTTCTCTCTTGTCAAAACTTAGGAATGATGTTTGGAACTGCAGCAAACTGGGCTGACCCTTCCCTCTTTCAGAGAGTGAACAAACCTTACAAAGAGTCAAGATTAAAATGGGAACAGCTAAGCCCAGCAACCCTGAGCAGGGGTTTGGTGCAGCTCTGCACCCCATTAATCCATCCCAATAATCCATCCCATTAATCCTGGCTGCATTGATCCCATATCAGATTGATCAGCTCCTTCCTGATTGGCCTCACCCAATATCTCTGCCAATTAGCTATCAATTAGTCTGGCTGTTTAATTGGCAGTGGGATGTCAATCAGGGGCAGAGCGATTATCAGAGGAGAAAATATTTCCAACTAAGTAAACAGCACAAATCCTCAGTGACAAAAGCTCAATTACCAAAAGGAACCTGCAGGGAAAACAAACTTGATCTGCCAATTCAGTTGTCCAACAAAGATTTGGTGGAATGAGGAGACACAAAATTCAGGTGGGAATGGTGGAGAAGGGCACAGTTGTGGGACATTTTTTGTCCCAAACATCTCTCCATGCACAGTCACAGCACATTCCTTACTGCTGCTTTTTCTGGCAGCATATGACAACTCCATCTGTGTCAGGGTGAGAAATGCACCCCACAAACGCATTTTCCTGTAAATTCCCCAGGAGCAGATGCAAAGCTGTGACTTTCCCTGTTCCCAGTTCCCCATGCAGCCAGGAGGATCCCTGGGAGCTGTGATTGCACCAGGGATCAGCACTGACCYTCTGCCTCTCTGCTTGGAATTAAAGATTAAAGCCAAAGCCAAACCTTTCAAAGGGAAAACAAAACAGAGCACATGTTCAGGCACCATCAAATCCCACTGAACCCCTGGAGAGGCAAAGGTGSCTCCACACAAGAGCTGCCAAGGTTGACTTGGTTTTCTCCACATTTCTCCCCCTGTGAGGTCGGGGAGCAGCAGATTCAGAGCTGGAAATGAAACATCTGCTCACAGCTGTATCAAACARAAACCAGAACACAACTCCACACATCTCCTGGAGAGACAGGAGATGTCCACACAACTCTGWCACCTCCATGTGATCACAAATAACATTTTTCTAAGAAAACCAAATGACAAACCCTGCTGTCCCGATGTCCCAAGGAGGATGAGACGAGGCTCAGGCCTGACTTACCTTACCAGTGCATCTGGTTTGCTTAGCTGGTTATTAGGAATACAGTTTTCCATTAAGTCCTTATGTGTGCTCGGGCTYTTGCTGGCACATTTCTGTTTTTTCTCGTTTTTAGAGGATGAGGAGGGGATGCTCCCGTTGGTTGCACTGTGGCTGCGGGGTGAGGAGTTCACAACCCCGCTGACATTTTTGTAATTTTTGGACGAGGCAGTGCATGAGTCCTCTTTCAAGAGGTTTTCTGTACTTCCTACAAGATCATTATTTAATCTTTTACTATTGATATGGTTTTCCATATATTCAATTTCTTGTATTTTAGAGTCTACAGGTTGCAAAATGTTGTTATTTATTCCAAGGTTGTGTTTCTTCGCATCCTTGTCCTTTTCTTTCCCTTTTTCTCGATATTCCAGCTCTGGCAACGTTGCAGAGATTTTTTTATTGGCTGGAATGCCTCCATTGTGCTGCAGGAGTATTGAGGAATCCATATCAGATAATCCTTTGGCTGCTGCAACACCAAAGTGAAAAAAAAAAAAACCCAACTTAGTTCATTAAATCCATCAATACCGTGCCACAGAAAGAAAAATCATTATGGACACATCCATCATTCCTGCAGGAAACAATCAGTATCGGAGCCTCTCTAGAGAAAGAGAATCCAAAGTCACCTATTTTAAGGCTTTTTGCCTCATTACAGGCAGGAAGCAGGGATTTAATAATAAATACTGGTGCTTCACACRACTCTGAGTGACCAGATTGATGCAGCTGCTCAGGCAGAACTGAGCAGAGGGGCCACAATTCCCTTTTCCTGTGCCATGAACCACTCCAGAAGGATTTCATTGCTGCCCCTCTGATTGTGAGCTCTGATTGTGAGCTCTGGTTGTGAGCTCTGGTTGTGAGCTCTGATTGTGAGCTCTGATTGTGAGCTCATCCCACTCCCCCAAACCAGCCCAGGCTGAGGCAGCTCCTCCTAAGCAAGGCTGGGATTTGTTTTTTCTCGGAGCAGCAAAGAACAGAGAGCACATGAAGCAATAACTTGCCTTCCTCTGCCTCCCTCTCTTGCCTCTGCAGCATCTGCTGCTCTGGGGGCAGTGCCTGCTGCAGGAGCTGCATGTAGAACTCGTTCTCTTTCTGCACCTCTTTCTGCTTTCTCAAACGCATCTTGTAGCTGACGTAACTTTTAAAGCCAAAGCCCAAAGTCACAACAGGGTAGCCAATGCTGAGGAAGAAAAAAAAAAGTGTTATAATTAATGAAACTGCAGCCATGAGAGCAAATTAATCAATTGTGTACATCTGTATGACAACTGCTTGTAGAAAATGATGTTTTTGCTGTTCCACAGTTCAAAAATGTAGGCAGGTCTTGATCAAGATAAAATTAGCTTATTACAGGCAGCAATTAATTGTAGTACAGATGAAAGGATTACAGGAATGCCATTGCATTAGACATGGCAAAGACAGCTCTGAGACCAGCCCAGACTGGGATTTACACATCTTTTCAGGAAATAACAGCCAAACACAGCTGCAGCTCCCACGTTTTGCTCCTGAAGAGCTTTGCCAYGGGTAGGACATGAACCTGGGAGGTGAATGAACAACATTTCAGCACAGCAGTGAAAATCCCATCCTCTGGCACTCAGAAATTCTATCAGATCCATCTGTCAGCACTCTTGAAAGCTGAGACAAACAAAGGTGCTCCCAAATCCCTGCTCTGCAACACCTTCAGGGCTGCCCAGGCTGAGAGAGGAGATGGGGGAGATGGAATAAAGGTTTGGGAAGTTGGGATAGAATTTTGGGAATACAGAGATTGGGGAACACTGAGATTTGGGGGGAGCAGGATGTAGCCAATATAAATTCAAATGACAGATGTTTGGGTTATTGGAGGCTGCACCAAATGACTGCAGGAAAAACAGCCCATATTTTAAACTCAATGAGATCAATGAATTTTTCCAAAAACTTGAGGAATAAAAGTGCATTTCCTCCAGATCTGGATCTGTGCAGCTCAGGCTTTTGCCTGGAGTCACTCCTCTCATTTCCAGTGGAGCAGTGTAATGAGCAGTGTTTGCTTTTTTATTTTCTGCAATGATTTTCAACCTGAAGTTTATTCGYTGCTTCTGGTGAATTATTAAATCACACTCATGAGAACCTTTCTCTGGGAAAAAGGAGAGCCCTCTGCCCCAGAAAAAGATTTCCATAATAATTTTTTTTTTACTTTTATCATCTGTTCACTCTGTGAATACAAAATTGGTGAAATGATGGCAGGAACTTTCCAGAAATGCTCAGAATATCCACGTTACAAATTCCTGACAGCACAGAGAGGTGGCACTGGGTCCTTGTTTACACACATTTCTCACATGGAATACTTAATGAGGRAAAAACTGAACAACCAAGCCCTGAACTCAAATAAAAAGCCCTGATTATTCCTTTCCCTGCTGAAATGAAGGTTAATAAGGAAAGGAGAACAGAGAATCACTCACCAGTGTGCTGCAAACGGACGACAAAGGTCCACGTGRAAGTTTTTTAAATCTTTAAATCTAATGGCTGCTTCAATATAAACAAAAAGTATCCACAGTGATACTGTTGGTAAGCACACACCTCTTTCTGTGGAGAGAAGGGAAACAGAGGCACCTCAGTGACARAGCACAAGCAGCGAGGATTTCAAAGGTATTTTTAAAATATTTCAAAAGTTAAAGGAAATAGA